AAGGACATTACTGCATGGTTTAGAGATTATCAAATCATGGTTACGCCATAAGGAGGAGAATGCAATCAAATGGTAAACTTAGCAACAAGGACTGAAAGCCAAGATTTGTTTGAATCTCTGCAATATTGAATCATATATTGGAGCTTCTTCTGCAATTATCATAGAATCATAGAATCATAGAATAGTTAGGCTTGGAAAAGACCTTAGGATCATCAAGTTCCAACCCCCCCTGCCATGTGCAGGGACACCTCACTCTAAACCATATCCCCAATTATCTTCCTTCTGAGTTGGAAGGAGATGAATCCGAGTGCAGTATCTGCCTTCTTTTCATGGGAAGATCAAAGGCTTGGGGTATAATGGGAGCTGAAGGCATGAATGCTGCTGGTTTTGATGAAGGAAGACTTACTTGGAAATCAAAAGGCCAATACATTTAGGCTAATGACACAGCAATTAAAATCTGTTGCTTAGCCATTCTTTATAAGAAGGCAAATACCATCTGTTGAGTGCTTGCTACAGAAGTGACAGTAAGTGGATGACACTTCCAAGGTCATTAATACAATTGGTATATTGGCTTCTCTTTATTCAGCCTCCTGAACCATTCTGATGATTTCCGTATAAATAACCACACCGGAGAAATCACCATCAGCCGTAACTTGGACCATATCACAGCTGACAGGGTTGTGACACTGATAGTTATTGCTACTGACCATGGAGTTCCTCAGCTTACATCAAATGGTAAATGATGTCTTTTACCTTCTTTTCTTATTTTCCCTACATAAACATAACCTTTGCAAACACTGAAATGTTAAATGAATCCCATCATGCCAAGTCAAAGTGAATTAGGGCTGGAATCCATGTTACATCTCAGCAATGAGGAATATTTGCTTTTTACCCCTTGATTCCCTTCCTGGCTGATCACATTAACAGGAAGTTTGGTTTAATAATCCTGGTTAGAAAGAAATTTTCTGTGTATCATGCCTTGATGCTCATGGTACAGAGCCCAGGACTTCGTAGTAGCAGCCACTCTAAATAGATGTATAAAATAACATAAATAATGTGTGTTTCTTTTTCAGTTTTCCTCCGTTTTCTTAGAATTAGAAACATTTAAAAGAATTAGAAACTGGCAAATAACCCTGCTCTTGCAAAAAAATATTCAGTCCCGTGGAATTTTTGGTAACTTCATCTTAGGGATTAGCTTTGAGTTATCATGAGCAGGAGAAACAACTGATTTTCTTAATATAGGGAGAGTGCCCATGACAGAATTTGCACTCGGATGGTTTGACATCTCTCCCTTCTCTGTTGTTACAAAAGAGCTTAGCATGAGATTATTAACAAGTAGCAAACACCTGCTTTATCCCATTGACTTCCAATTTGTGATCGTTGCTCTCCTATCATATTGAAGCAACACTGCTGAGATCAGAGAAGTGGGGTTTTATACCTGAAACATCAGGTATAAAATACATCATATATTACATATCAACACATACATACACAACATCATATATTACATATCAATCCTTATTGCTGTTATTTATTTTTCTTCTCATTCCTCTTTCTGTCATTTTCTCAGTTCCTCATCATTTAGGCAAACAGAGCACAGCTCATGATGATTTTCGCAGCGACTTCACCATTTTAACTTGTTTTCTCTCATTAGCCTCTGTCACTGTCTACTTGCTGGTCAACGACACCAGCTTCGGACTGACCTTTGAAAGCTCCAGCTACGAGTTCAGCATTCAAGAGAACGAACCCGCAGGGACTGCTGTTGGCTCAGTGAAGGCTCTGACTGGCAGCATCGCTATCCAAGTGATGTACTCCCTCAAATCTCACAGTGACAAGTTCTCTGTTAGTGAACAAGGAGACATTGCGGCTCTGGCCATGTTAGATCGAGAAGAAAGGGACCTATACAGCATCGTTGTAGAAGCTGTTGATTCTGTGGTGCCACCCAATACAGCTGTTGCTTTGGTACAGTATATTGCATTTTAAAAGGGAATATAAAATATTAAGTGTATATATATATATTTTAAATCAAGCAATATCCAGACAAGTATCATCTGTCATTCAAGCATGATGGGTTTGAGAGCCTTTTATTCCATTTCCCTTTTTTCTCCAAGGAGATGCTACCATCTTGCAATACTTTAAACCACACAAATCACATCATTTCCTGAAAGTGCCTCTGTGAACAACCCATAACCAGAGAAACTGATCAACACTAGAACTGATTCTGTGCATAGTTCTGTCAAATGCATGAGGGAGATGAGCCCCAAACCCCCAGGTTATTAATCCTGCTCATGTCTTAAGATGTTATCTAACATAGAGACAACATGCAAGATAAAGTGTTAGAGTGCATGTTATCTCACTTATAGCAGTTGAGAACAATAAAAATGCTAAGATGCTGAAGTTGTAAAAATGTTTAAAGATGCTGCACTTTTTATGTCTCCCTTTGGTTTTTTGGGTGTGTGCATTTGGTTGGTTGGTTTTTTTTCCCCTATATAATTCTATAGGGTAAAATTGACCAAAATTCCCCTTTCAATGCTGTTTCTATATTTCAAATGTGTCTCTTTTTCTTTCTGTTCTTTCTTTTTTATAAAACACACAGGTGACTGTGAGAGTTAATGATGTCAATGACAATCCTCCAGTTTTCTCAACACTGATTCAAACTAAACTATCAGTTCCTGAGAATGCAGCTAGTCTAGACTTGGGTGTATTTTCTGCTACTGATCTGGATATAGGAGTTAATGCACTTATAAGCTACTCTCTGCAAGATGATTTTGCTGGGACATTCCATATTGACAGCTCTACTGGCAAGCTGATGACAAAAAACTCCTTAGACAGAGAGATGGTGGACAGCTATGAGCTGAAAATAACAGTAAGTAGACAAATTTGATGTTTTCTCAACATAAAAAGGAAAAAATATTGAGTCATCACAGGAAAACCACTTAATCTCAGTGAATTCCATTGGAATCCACTAGTGAATTTTGACTGTTTATTATGTTTTGCGCCCACAGCTTTGTTTTCTGCTGTGTAAATTGCTATTAGTCAGTAAATGACCTCTAACACCAGATCTTAAAGGACACGGTCACATAATAGCTTACTGTGAAACCTGCAAAGTGTTCCTGAGTCCATTTTAGACCATGAGGTTGCTGCTGTATTGCTTTTACTGCTTCGCCATTCCATAGTTTGTCCCTTTCCCTTATTTTTTGTCTTTTTTCAAATTATATAGACTTAGATATTTTTAAAGCACTTGAAAAACAAATTTCCAAGTTAAAAAGTAGAAGCATAAAGTTTCATCCAACATTCATGTAGGGATCTATTTATTCCGATAAATTATTGGGCATACAAAGAAGTGATCCAGCACTGGCCATCATGTACAAATGTACTTTAAGGAGCTCTTTACTGCTAACAAGCATTTTAACAGGTCAAGGAGCTTGTGGAATGTGATGAGGACAGCAAAGTAATCATCCTAAAAATCAAACAGTGTCTTCTGAAAGTTTTAGAATTAATAAAAGTGGACACTTTTTCAGACTAATTGAAAAGAGTGTATGTGTATCTACAGATCAGCCCTTTCCTATGGTAGATGTTCATGTAAAACTGACCGTGAATGTGCCATCTACTCTTCACAGCTTGCTTTGTAGACACTTAAAGCCCTCAGAATGTAAGGGATTTTCTTATTCTTTTAAATGCCCCGTCACGAATATGTACCTGTTTACTATAGTTTCATGTTGATTAGTGCTGTGTCTAATCACACAACACACCTGATCTGGATCCAGGCTTGCACTTTGATTAGTTGGTCACTAAATGAGGCAGAGCATGTGATATGGTGAGGATAGCAGCTGAAGGAGGATATGCAACACTTCACCTGGAGCTAGAGCAATGTCATGGGGTGACAACTGGTCCAGCAGAAAGTCTTCTGAGACAAAGCTTCACATTTTTTGGCCCAAAATTGAACTGGTAAAATAGGGTTTTTTATCAACATAGTGCTGCGTTTAATGACAAATTGTTTCTACACAGGCCACCGATTCTGGCAAACCACCCCAATCTGCAAGCTTAGTTCTAAGCATCACTGTGGAAGATGAGAATGACAACCCACCAGTGTTCCCTCAAAGGTCATACTCTGTGACTGTGAAAGAGAATGAGCCTCCACATGTGGTATGTGGTACTGAGCAATAAGCAGGCTGTTCTGTGATTGTTTTCTGTGTGTACACTTGGAAGTGGCAGTAATCCAATGGTGAACATATTTCTTTTACTTTGTGGAGCCTCTACAACCACACAGCATATTCAATTCGTATGACAGCAGAGTGCCTATCTCACTGACTTTTCCTAAAGCACCCTTTCTCTCCTGTCCCCAGCAGTGATGGCACAGTGCATGGATATAGCTTTTCACAGCAATGTGTTTTAAAGATACTGTACGTGTTGTGCATGTATCCAGCACCCCGCTTGTTCTTCCTTCTCTTCTTCCAGTGTATCCATTTCTGGCTCCGTATCCACTTTGCAGATGTGAACTAGTGATTTACAGCAATCAAGAAGTACCACCTAGGAATCTGTAACATCTGTTACCTGCCCTGCTGTGTATGATATGTCAGTATTCTAGCAATACAATTAATGGCCATATGAGCAATCTTATCAGTAAACACTATGTTGTTAAATACCAGTTTTGTGTGTGTCTTGCCACTTCTTTGTTCTCCTCTGAACCTGATGGCTTTGGTGTTTGTTTTGTTGCTGTTTTTCTCATTCAGATTCTGAGTGCAGCAGCCACAGATGCAGATATAGGGTACAATGCCATTATTCATTATGCTATAATTGGAGAGACCTCTTCATTTCTTGTTGGAGAACTTTCTGGAAACATTACAACTCTTCAACCTCTGGACTATGAAAGTTGTTCTGAGTATGCATTTCTTCTGAGAGCTTTCAATCCTGGAGAGCCCAGCCTCCAGGACACAGCAAACATTACAGGTAGCCCCAGTTTACCACATAAGATTTAACTTCGTTTCCCTCAGGGAATATTTCACCATGTGTAATTATGAGGCATAAGGATAGCCTTCAGTAGTAACACAGTCTGCTCAAGTAAATCATCAGAAATGATGATGCGACCTTTTCACTGCAGCCAGATGAAGTTTCCCTCAGAAAATGTTTGTGTGAAAATCTTCATTTTTGACAAACTGACATTACTTTCTTCAGTGTATTCACAATGTTTTCTATGGCCTTTTTGCAGTACCTATTGACATCTTGATTGAAAAGGTTTCCAAAACCATAATTCAGTCTTTTTCTGCTTGTTTACAGAAAGGCTGCTAAAAAAATGTTGACCATGATTTTTAGTGTTGTTAAAATAACAGTACTTGATTATTCATGTTTTTCCTTAAATCAATCTATCTAATCTATCTACCTACCTATCTACCTATCTATATATCTAATCTATCTATATCTGCCTGTCTACCTATCTACCTGTCTACCTACCTATCTACCTACATATCTATCTATCTATCTAATCTATCTATATCTACGTATCTATCCATCCATCCATCCATCCATCCGTCCGTCCATCTATCTGTCTGTATCTTTTGAACACAACATAAAAGATTTCTGTGAAGTTGGTATCCTAGTTTTTGGCCAGCCCTACTTTTGATCAGTATGACTGGAAGTATTGACTTACTACTTCCTATGCTGTGTTATTTATGTTACTGTACAGCCGCTTCACTAATTGTGGACCCTTATTGTGCCAGGTCATGTACAAATATAACACTAAGCAATCCTGTCTCACAGGGTTTGCAATCTGAGCCAAAGACTAGAGATACCAGATGAATACGGACACAGATGGGAGCCCAGTGAAACAATAAGATGGTATCATTTATGACAGATAGTAGCGACAACAATAAGATGCCACTACTATCTGTCATAAATAATACCAACATGCCAGCTAGAAGTTTTCCTATTGTAGGGGATCTATTGCTTCAACAGTAATAGTTAATCCACAAAGGCGAGTGTTTTGAAGTACAGAAAACAAGATTTCCATCTGGTTTAAACTGGAAGAGCTCCAACTCAGAGGAGCTGTGCTGGTTTATATTTTCTGAAGAAATAGCTTGTAATCGTTTAGGTGCAATTCCTGTTTACACTCAGATATGGACCTTCTTTTATTAGTTACCGTGGAAGATGTTAATGAAGAAGGACCCATATTTGACAAGCCCTCATACCACCAGATCCTTCTAGACAATTCTACAGCTGGCACGCTGGTAGTAGATATCAATGCAAGAGATGAAAACAAGGATTATGATGCAGGCATTTTCTACAGCATTTCAGGTATGTTAGGAAAAAATCTCATGCTATTTATTAGTGGGGTACTTGCATGATGCTAAACTGAGCTGCATGACACAAGAATGAGAAGTAATGGTAGTAAATTGAAATGGCAGGTTCTGAATGAAAATAAGGGGAAAACAAGTCCTCTGTGAGCATAACTAAGTACTGGAACAGGTAGCCCAGAGAGGCTGTCCTCAGAGGTTTTCAGCTCCTGATGGATCAAGGCCTTGAGCTTTCTATTCTGGATTCATTCATGACTCTGCTTTGAGGCAAGAGGTTGGACTAGAGGCCTCACAAGGGTTTTTGAGCGCAAGTGATTCTGAGATGCAGACACAGAGTAAAGAGAGGCCATGTATCTTGCTCCAAGTCACATGTACAGAGATTATGATTTCAACCCATGTCTCTGAAGTCCTGCACGCATAATTCAGTCTCTTGTCTCTGCTGGCCCTGTTAAACATCTCCAACACTTGTTTTTCTTTTTTTAGGTGGAAACTCAGAAGGCCTCTTCAGTCTTTCCAGCACCACAGGAGAACTCAGGTTAACAAGAGACTTATCCAAACTGACTGCTCCTGTGTATTACTCCTTGATAGTCACTGCTACAGATTCAGGTCTGCCACCTCTTTCAACTTCTGTAAAGGTACTGAAATGTTTACTTGTGCAGTTTATTCCCCAGGTTGTTTTATTCTAAACTGAGTGTAACTACGCCAGGAAATGGGTATTAGTGAGGCAAAACTATGCAAAATGTGAATCAGAATGTCAGAGTCCCATTTCTGTGTTGGGAACAAGATACAGGATGATTACAAAGTTATAGCACTACATAATGGTCATTCCATTTCAGAAAAGAAAGTCGGGAGTTCTAGACTCTGTAAGGGAAGAAGATGAGAGAAGTGGAGACTTCTGTGTAAGGTCAAAAAGCGCGACAGTCACAGGGGGTGTAAGGGAAGTATGTGAGAGAATAAACAGGAGACAGCAAATAGGATGTTCCTGTTTATTTGCCTATATTAGAAGGCAAAAATATCTAAACTGAAGACTGAGGAATGTAAATATAATAAAAGAAAACTTTTTTAATACAGTGCTTATGACTTGTTGGTGATCTTCTGCCACTAAATATCACAGCTTAGCAGAACTGAAAAACAGGACTAGAAAAGTATATGGCTAAGGACATACAGAAAATGATATTCAATAGAACCTTAAAATGTAGACTTCCGAGGCATTATTCTTCCAAGCTTTGGGGAGCAGCTGTCTGGCATCATTTATAAATGAATCACCTTTATTTTTGTGAAGCAGTAGGCATTATTTGTGTACTGCCTGTCACCTTTATTCATCTATAAAGTCAGCTGTTATAATTCAAAACACTTAGGAGCTCCTGCTCTGGTCATGCATTCTACAGTGGAAGAATCAGTTGCAAATACAGGTCAGTACCTCCCTCCAGGAGTGGTCTAATTAGAAAAGTCATCTGAAATGTGGTGTATGTGCCAAGCTGGAATCCCTCTCTGTATTTAGGAAAGCATACAGGTGAACCTAAACTGAGGAGGCATTTTCACTGACCTTCACTGCCTACAAGGCACTAATGTCTCAAGCTCAGCACATAGCAACCATCAGCTTCTTATTGACAAAGTTCTGGACTTGTGCTGTTGCACACCTCAGTAGACAAGCCTGGTACACCTGACAACAGAATCCCTGTGGTCATCTCCTTTTCTCTGCAGGTGTCAGTAACCATAGCTCCCATCAACGTGTCATTCCCGGTGTTCTCTGAAGAAGTCTATCAGCCTGCCCCTCTGAGTGAGAAGACGCTGCCAGATACGTTCGTTGTCCACATTGATGTGCTGTATAGGGACCCTGTGATATACAGTATTGTGTCTGGGGATGAAAAGGGTAAGCTCTTTATGTGAAGTAACAAGGAGGGTGTGTTAAACAACTGGTGCTGCAGGGCGTTAGCTTTTGGCTTGTTTCTTCTCTCTCTTTGCTCTCACTTGTCTCAGCTCCACAGCCATTAATACTGGATGTGTATCATCCAGATGTACACATGTGATATGGAGCGGGTGTGGGCACATGATTGAATTTCTGTCAGATTAGGGTTGATACAGATACATGATACAGAGCTGGCGTATGCTTTTCTGTGCCTGCTACAGGAAGATCAGGTGGTGCCTCACGAGGCATAACATTGCAGTGACTGGAAAAGAATACCCAATTCAGTACAGAGGCTGCTGGTTGAAAAACTAACTCAGCAATGTCCTCTTAATGAATGTGAATGTGTGGAATAAGTTTACATGGGATGGAGTACACCGTGCTTTGTTGTGTGCCTTTTTCTACTAAACATAGAGCTGATTTTATTGTATCACCAAGCTTAGCATCTCTTAGCATTTCTTTTTTGTGAAGTGTTTTGTATGAAGTTGTGGTCTCCTTGAAGTTATTTGCAGAATTCAGTAAGAACAGGACTTAAGGGAAATAAAACAGCTTCTGACTGAACAGGGACAAATAATCTTTGTTTCAGAGGAAGGTGGAGACCTTCTGAATAGAGTGGTAGAGAGAACTTCTACCTTTTGGTTTCTATCTGACCTTCTAAATTACTTGTTTTGTTAATTACAGACCTGGATATCTCTGACATTCTCACAAATCTTGCTTTGTTCTTTGAAGAATCCTGTAACACAATATTCATACACATAATGCATCATATCCATTGAAGGGTTCATATAATCAAATTTACTATTAAAATCATAAACAGAACAATTTCTCTGTGTGTTTGTTTTTTAAACAGGTTATTTCATTATCGATTCATCCACTGGCATTGTAAGAACAAGGAAGAATTTGGAACTGAAAGATTTCCCAGCCATTTTCAATGTGCGAGCAACAGATTCTTCTACCCCTAGCATATTTAATGAAGTTTCTGTGAATGTGACAGTTATTGATGAAAATGATTTCCCTCCGGTTTTCCCATCCTCTCTACTAGAAGCAAGATTGGAAGAGGTAAGAAAACGCCATCAAAACTGAACCACAAAAATAAGTCCTTAGAATAACAATCCTAAAACTCTTTTGGTGAGCATGTGAATAAACATTCTGGAACTGGACAGGCTTGCCATTCTGTTCCGCCATATGGTCTTTTAAGGTTTAGTTCAAGCTGAAAATCCCAATGCATAAGGAGAATGGTTCTGGAAGCGTGGATATATTGAAGGAAAAGCAAATCTTTTACTAATAAGGGGCTCCATGAAGGAAAAGCAGCCACCTGGTTTCGCATATCTGTACACAGAATATTGGTGTGCATTCAAAATCCAGTGGATGTGCTGGGCACCTCACAGACTCTCACTCAGCCTTTTGGAAGGGAGCTCCCTACAGAGAAGTAACAGGCAAAATGCTCTCATTTAGCAACATTTCTCCTCTTTCTCCTGTACAATCTGTTGTGATTCTTCCTGACACAAAGACATCAGTGGCGGAAAGCAAGCCAGATTTCAGTCTGGGGCTGCTCTGTTATGATAAGCCTGCAAAAGAAGCCACAGGATTTCATTATGCAAAAGCATCTAGCTCAGCGTTTCACTCCTCAATTTTCAAACAGCACTTTTCACACTTCAATCTGCTAGCTACATCTTAAAAACAAGCACACTGAATTTCCCAGCTGATTCCCACACATTCTCTCCAACAGCCACAACTGATTTAAAATCCAGTCCATTCCTAACACTGAGCTGAATATAGGCTTCATTACTGCACCTATTTTTAATGTTCCCAGTTAGTTTAGTGGAGAAGAGTTGGAATCACATTTCCTGACCTTAAAAATTGATTTGCATGTGAAATATTTAGAGAGTAGGAATTGCTGGATGCCCTGTTGGATCAAGTAACTTCAGAGCAGGTCTCAAATAGCTGTGCAAGTGAAGCACTGATATTTACTGTCCATCTTGATTCAAACAATGTTTTGAAAGAGGAATAAATGTATTATTTATTCATTATTAGCCAAACAGTGTTCAGAAAGAAAAATGAGTTTGAAGTTGAGAACATCTATTGAGTTTCATGGAAGTAGAAGCTCTTAAACATGAGTAATTCCTCAACAGATCAGATGCTCAAGGTTACCAGGTCTGTTTGAAATCACCCTGAATTTTCTTTCTGAAGGTTGCTGCTGTAGGTAGAGACATGGTGGGGGCAAATAGTTCTTTTCTGGAAATTAGAGAGAACAAGATATTCTCTTATTGTGCCCTACAAGTTGTATACTTTTGATTTTAAAATGTCTATACTCTCATAAGTTTAGGCACTATTTGTCACATCCTCCCTTTTACATCACTTAAGAAACTGCAGCTAACCAGTCTCTGACAGCCTCAACCGATTCTCCATCCACAGAATTTACCTGCCACTCAGATCATCCAGCTGGAAGCTCAGGACAATGATACAGATAGAAACGGTTTCCTGACATATGGCATTCTTAGTGGAGACAGACTAAAGTTCAGGATAGATGAAGCAACTGGAATTCTTTATTCCACCACCTCCTTTGATTATGAAGAGGAACCTACAGAGTATCAGGTTTGCTTTAAGTCTTAACTCTTCCGAAACCTTTCCCTTTGATAACAGGTCCCAATTTTTTGTTTAGCTTGATATTGCCTGAACATTTTATGCACTCTTTTAGGATATGAGCATCTCGAGATGTGATGCATTATTAAAGGAAGATACTGACTCAAAACTATAAGGAAATTCAAGCAAGGTTCATTGTTCACATGTCCAACAAACTCTCAAACACTTCAGCACATGAACAACTAACTTTGCAATGACAGCTCATGTATTCAAAGCTGCCTGCTTGATTGAATCCATACTGAACTGATATCTTGCAGATATATATCAGTTATATATATATATCTGAGAATCAATTTGATTCTCAGTTAACCTTCTTTACTGTTGCTGCAACTGCTGGTTATTTTGTACGATCTTATTTTGCTTCAAGCAAAAAGATTAGTGAATTTGTTTGCCCTATATAGAAAGACTTCATCTATTGACAAAGTACTCCATAAGCTTTCATTAATAATTTTGAGGTGAATCCGGAATTTGACTTAACATTTCTAAGAATACTCCAAAGTTTAAAATTCATCAAGGTGTTTTAATCCTTCTGCAAGTGCCTATTTGTATGATTTCTCACAACTGTGCAACTTACAGGTTGTGATATATGCTGAAGATGATGGAATCCCCGAGAAGAAGAGAGGTTACTGCACAGTTGTCATAGAGATCATTGATGTTAACGACTGGCCACCTGTGTTTGATCCAGTGACTGAATTCAGTGTAAATGAGAATGTGCCTGTGGGATTCATAGTTGGGAAAATCACAGCAACGGACAGAGACACAGGAGACAATGCCTTTGTTGTATATAACCTTACAGGTAACAAGGAATTCTCTCACTGCACTGGAACAACTGTCACTTTGTGGTCTATACCGTTACAAGTATAAATAGCATTTATGTGTGTTACCTCCTCACCCCCTTCTACATAAGATCCTTTTTAACCTGGTTTGGTATTTTACTAATTGATGCTCACACAGCTTTCAAGCTGATTGAATAGGAACTTCTTTTGCAGAAACTATAACTTGTGCTTTAAATTGTACTCTTACTTCTGTCAAAAATCAGCTTTTTAAAAAGTCTTTAGTTCTGTGGCTGCCACAGCTGCAATCAGCAGGAGTAAGTTTGATAAGAAAGGTGCTCATGGCTTTCTTGAACAAGGCTTAAGGGTCTAGGGCCTTGTAGAACCCATTGTGCTTGCACCAGGTAATAAATGCTGCTAAATTATGCCTCTCCTCATGCTATGGACTGTGAGCACTTCACAGCTACTAGGAGCTGAGGTAAATGGTATCACAAGCATGTCAGGGACTTGAGTCACTATCAAGGGCTGTTGGAGAGCTGTGTTCTTCACCCTTGTGCTTGACACCTTACCTCCGCAGCACAAGTGCTACAACAGACAGCAGGTCACCTACTCTTGTGCCTCAGATCTCTGCCCAGGCTGCAATTTCATTGTACATTAATGTGCCAGCTTGTGAACTGCTGTGACTGACAGCTCTAAGTTCTGCTTCCTGTCACATTTAACTGTGGTAGCTGACGGCATTACAGTTGGGAGGAGCACCCCTTTGGCCACTGCCCCTATATCTGACAGAGATGGAGATCTAGACTTCTCTGGACCAAAGGCTGCAGGAGTTGAAATAGCTGGTTTTGCTGTAGGGACCATCAAGAGTGATATGTGTACAGCTTATATGTTTTTAGAGTCTTTTATTTCCAGTATGTATATAGACTTTGGGGTGGCTTTGGACATGGGTGGCCAAAACCAGCAAAAGTCACTGCCAGGTCTTTTGACAGTCAAACTGATTTCATTTAGAGAAGTGTGTGCCACTCCATCCACCTGTGTTAGAATAAATTCAGTGACATCTCTTAGAGGTCTTGGCAGCAGCACTGTCTTCTTAACCCATTCTGTGGGCTCACATTTCAAACATTCATCAAAGTATATCTGGGTTTCTTCTACATTATCTATATGATACTTAAAAAGTGGTTTTAATGAGCTCTAAGACTCAGGTGAACATATAATTTACATATAATTTAAGACTGTAGTTAATTATGTGTTTCTAAGATATATTCATGTGCTTCTAAGATGTATTCATTGATAATGCTTCTTTAAATGTATCTTAGGTGGTGCAGAAAATGTATTTGAAATAGATGAAATAAATGGCAACATTAAGATAAAGAACTCTCCAGACTA